CACAGCTCAGAATGGAAGCAAGTCGACGAAGAACTCTGTAGGGTAAGGCAGGTCCTAGTCAATAACGGCTTCTCCAATGGTTTCATCGAAGACATCATAAGAAGGAAAGTGAAAAACCATGCAACCTCTGAAGAGACAACTAACACAACACCTATACCCCCTATTAGACTATTTTACAGGAACTTCTTTTCCACAGCTCATAAAACGGAGGAAAGGGTCCTGAAAGATATTGTTAATAGAAACGTTATCCCTACAGACAAAAATCAGAGGATACAACTGACGATTTACTATAAAACCAGAAAAGCGGCCAGCCTTCTCATGAGAAACTCTCCAGACACAAAACAGAACGCTTTAAAAGAGACTAACGTCGTCTATGCCTTCAAATGCCCACTTGGGGACTGTAAGCTCCAAAAAACCCAGTATATAGGCAAGACAACAACATCTCTTTCTAGGCGTTTAACGATGCATAAGCAACAGGGCTCCATTAAGGAACATATAATCTCTTCCCACAACCAAACCATCGCCAGAGAAATCCTAGTAAACAACACAGAAATCATCGATAGATACAGCGATAGCAGGCGGCTTGACGTTTGCGAGGCACTACACATCAAGAAGTCAACACCAGCAATCAACAGCCAATTATTGCACAACTATATTCTACCCACCTCAAGACTCCGCTCCAATATAGAAGCATCAAGAAATATGGACCAATAGGCTTTCTACAAACACTTCTATTCAATACCCATTGTTTGTGTTCTGTCTTGTGTTGATACTTTTAATACCCTATTAATATCCCCTCTTGTTCTGTCTTGTGTTAATGCCACATCACCCCTCCCACCTCACTCAAATGTAGATATAAAATTGGAGATACGTAAGTTCTAATCAGTTGTGTATTTGTGAACTAAAGTCTTTGAAAATGTAATAAGTTTTACGAAACGCGCCTGTGTCGCGTCAGACTAGAAATAAAAATGAATTTTGGAGAATTGATTTTTGATTTACCTCCAACAGTGAAGCGTAATGTACGAAAGATTGAGAAAATTCGTGTTAGAATTATTAATCTTACTTTTTCGGTCATATTTAATAATATATATATATATATATATATATATATATATATATATATATATATATATATATATATATATATATATATATATATATATATATACACTTACAAAAAAGTGACGAAAAAAAAAAGATGTAAAGTTTACATTTCAGAGTCAGTGCTTCACATTTTCAGAAACAGAAACAAGTATAAAAACAAGAATATTTATATACCTTCTGCTGCAGGTGTGTCTGAGAGCAGACTTGTCCTGCTGGGCTTATCTTCAACCAACAAGTAACTTTTAAAATGTTGTGTTGGGTGGACGCTGATAAGAGTTAATGTTTGAGCGGTCTTTAGAGCGCTTAGTCGAGCTGCTGTTAGAGTGTTGCTTTAAGAGCAGTTATTAGAGCTGCTCTCTACTTTAAAGCACTTTGTTAGAATGTACTATGCTAGTGCTGCTCTGTATTTTAACGCATTTTGCTAGAGGTGCTGCTTTTAGAGCTTCCATAGAGCCTCATTGTGTTAGAACTACGCTGTGACAGAGCTGATCTCTCTAACTATAAGTGAAATCTTGAACAAGGTGGACATGTTCGTGACGTTGATAATTAACCAACCAACCAACCGTTGATAATAAGTTAACCAACTTTCAAGGAAAGCTTATAATGATGGCAGAGAATCTGAAGTGTGACAGAGGCAATATGAGGGGAGGCTAGAGAAGGCTGACAGTAGAAGACAGACAACAGGAACACACCATTGTGGCTACAATATAGTATGCCATTAAATGATCCCCGACTAATGAGACTTTATGGCATAAACTACATTAAAATCTCATCAGATTGGGTCACCCAAATTATCCCATTGGCCTACACCCAAAAGAGAATATTAGTAGAGTTATTTGGAAATTATGAGGGAGTTCATGCATAGATTACCGCGAGGCAATAATGCTTCATAATAATGTGCTGGTCCGAGCTATGAAGCGGGTCATCATGTTTATTATTGTATCATACTCGGTTAATGACTTTATTTATCAGTTGATACTCGCTCCCCTTGACTCCACCCGATACACCAACAGTATAGATGTTCTATGGTTTTATACACGTATATACATACATGTAATAATATGGTTTGCTCTTTTGTGTAGATTAATGGATGTATCTAACTCGATTCGTTGAGTAAGATCATGTGTTATCTTGAGTTATCTTGATGAGATATTATGTGTATTAATGATTTTACTCAAGACTTTAGTAAGATCATTAATACACAGTTATCGTAATAAAATCTTATTAATATCCCCTTATCTCACTATTATCTTATTAATTTTCCCTTATCTCACTATTATCTTATTAATATCCCCTTATCTCACTATTATCTTATTAATATCCCCTTATCTCACTATTATCTTATTAATATTCCCTTATCTCACTATTATCTTATTAATATCCCCTTATCTCACTATTATCTTATTAATATTCCCTTATCTCACTATTATCTTATTAATATCCCCTTATCTCACTATTATCTTATTAATATCCCCTTATCTCACTATTAACTTATTAATATCCCTTTATCTCACTATTATTAATATCTCATTAATATCATTATTATTTCAATAATGATTCCTGGAACTCATATGTATGAGTCACTGGGCCTTATGCAGTTTCTTCTTATGCATGTGAACCAAGACATTGTATTTTCACCCAAACTCATTCCTGCCTATATATCTGCCATCACTGAATTGTAATATCCCCCCCCCCCAGATCTAAAGTATCAGCTATTGATACAGTTAATGGCTCCAAACAGCCTCCACTTACGGGCTCACCATAGCCCGTGCTACTTGGAACTTTTTGTTCAGAGTAGCTGAATCTAAAACAACAAACAACTGTAAAATCTCCGGGCTATTCATGCCCGTGCCACCTCTTGGGTGGCTTAATCTTCATTAATCATTGTAATAGCCATCCTTCTGAAGTTGTATTATTAAATTCGAAAGTACTTAAGGAATTTGCTGTCTTAATCATTCCTTCATCGTCTAACATTGTTTAACACATGTTAATTTTTTGTGATTATATATATATATGAGTATGTGTGGATGTTTGCAAAGATAGTTCTTGACGCATTTGGTTCCTCCCAAAATATCACTGGGTGGAGGCTTATCTACGTTTCATATATATGGAAATTTGAAGCCACATTTCCTCTCTCCTTGAGATTATCAGTGCGGTGGGGGAGACCGTATGAGCCGGCTGTGATTGGTGGCAGCGGTGGGATGATGACTGAGTGGAATGACTCTCCCTACCCAGCCTTCACCCTTACAGCTGCCTCACCCTTAGCAAATATCTAGGAATCCGCCACCAGCCTTTGAGCAGTGTGTTAGCTGAAATTTGTGTTGTGATGTGATAACTTGTATATTATTTTAACACTTGATTGTTGTGTGTGTGTGTGTGTGTACTCTCTCTCTCTCTCTCTCTATATATATATATATATATATATATATATATATATATATATATATATATCTTTCTCTTATCACTATTTTCCCCTCATAACCAACACCACTTCCATGACCACCACCATAACACACCACAACTACCACAAAATCATCAACGACACTAAGGCACCACACACGACCACTCCACACACGACCACTCCACACACGTACATCATCACCATCACCACCATCCTCATCACTACCCCTCAGGTCATTTCTTTATCTTTGTTCATCTACTTCAGTACTGTGATGCTTGGAACTCCTTACTAGAGGTAATATCAAGAGTATCCTGCTGGGTGTCTCTAGAGGCTGGGTCAAGCACAGCTGGTTTCTTATTCAAGTGAAGAAGATCTCCTTCATTAGGTAAATGAGGGTTCTTGTGAAGGCTTAGTGTTGTATTATGTTCTTCACCTCAGAGTCCACAAACAGTGACTCGCTTACAGTATTTAGACGCACTGTTAGTATCAAGGCAATTAAAACAGGTAACAGGGAAGGACTCCCAAGGAGTAATAGCACTTGGAAGGATGAAACTTTCAAAGAACCAATAATTTTGAGGAAGAGGTTAATTGTCTTCCCCAGACAATGATGATCCTATTCAAAGATTCACTATCCTTCTTGCCTTGTAGATCCATAGAAGATTATATGTTCTGTAAAAAAAAAGTCTTTGGGAAAACTTGTAAGATATGAAGTACCTTAAATTTCCTAGGCCGATCAGTGATATCTTGCTGGTGAAAACCTTATTACGAATCCAAGCTTTAGCCAGTCAATTGATGATATCTTCTTGCTTACGTAATACGCTGATGTAGGGTGAAGTTAGTCATGGTCTGAGTCAATCCAATAAAGTCTTTAGGAGTTCGCTATAAAGTTCTTCACACCTTACCGTCTTACAATTCATGACATCACTACATAGGCAGTGATGTGGTGGAGGCTGACTCCATACACAGTTTAAAGTGTAGATATGATAGAGCCCAATAGGCTCAGGAATCTGTACATCAGTTGATTGACGGTTGAGAGGCGGGACCAAAGAGCCAGAGCTCAACCCCCGCAAGCACAACTAGGTGAGTACCTGGGATCTAGGAGACTCAAAGGAGACTCTGACCTTCAGTAGTATTCAGGGAAAGACGAAAATTCCAATTTGGCAGCAAATCTGGAATTTTTTCTTATTAATACTACTCAATAGCTCGGTCAATAGAGCTTCGGCCCTCACACACACGTGGGGTCCACGGTTCGAGTCTCCAAGAGCCCAGGCAAATGGAATGTTTATTTCCACGGGAGTGTGGATGGCAATTTACGTACCGGCTTTGCTTGGGTCGTTGTTCCAGCTGGGAATGCCAGGCAAACGTGATCAGCACGAGAAGCAGCAGGAAGCTCCCTCCACACCATCTATCACCACACCATCTATCACCACACCATCTCCACTCTCCCACCCATCACCACCACCTGCATAAATCTCATCCTATCTCCATATTTCAGGTTACCGAGGCAGATACTGTGAGGAAGAGACGAACCTGTGCAAGTCTGGTCCGTGCAGCAACGGGGCCACCTGCACCGGCAATCACACCAGCTACACCTGCCACTGTGCCAGCGGCTGGGCGGGGCCCCAGTGCACCCAGCCCACCAACCTCGTCCACTACTGCGACAACGACTCCTGCGCCCACGGCGTCTGCCTCGAGACCAAAGATGGCTTCCGGTGCTTCTGCGAGCCAGGTGATTCCTCAGTGTTGTGGTAAAGCGCCTCCCAGCTGGTCTATACACGAGTGTACACCTTCACTGGCATGCACACTTCTAGTCCTCTTAGTTCTACGGCCAAAACGTCCCTCCAGAGGCCCGGCCCCCATTTCAGCCAGTTACTGAATAACAATTATAATACAGTAAGCTCTGTCATCTTAGAGTCGACCATGAAAGACTATGGTATTAAGATCACATTGTAAACTATGAAATAAAATATTAGTGACAATTACAACAAACTGTGGTGGTAAGTTAACATTAGTTTTACCAAAACTGTGCCTGTAAATTCTCCCTCCAGCAAACAGGATGTCGAAGGAGCAAGGAACCTATCAAATCATCAAGAAATAATATACGTAAAACACTAGTAATTAAGTCTGGGTCATGTTCACAGGGATAAATCTTAAAACATTGAACACACTACATATATGAACTTTGGTTTATTGGGTTAGCACCATAAACCTAGCTTGATTAATGCATTAAATAAGACCAACCTTGAATGGTCTAAGCACCTAACAAGAACAAACAGGCATGTACTTAATTTTAATATTAGATGAGCGACACACACTACATCCTCCTTGTCTGATAGCCTGCATACTCTGCATAGCGCAAACTCTCTGGGAAATCTTGTAACAAGATATGCCTTAAATTTCCTAGGCCAATCAGTGACATCTTGCTGGTGAAAACCATGTTACGAATCCAAGCTTTAGCCAGTCGACTGATGATATCTTCTTGCTAACGTAATATGGTAATACGTAATTAGTGTGTCTTGGTGTGTTTGAGCATGTGAGGGCGTGCTTTAGACCACCTCAGACACAATGATATATATAAATAAATTTACACAGTTTTATGGATAATGAAAATGAGGAATTTTTCTCTATTCGACACCTCTTTTAAGTTAGTAGATTTGTTAAGTAGATATGTTTGTCGAGTTAACACTTTAGTTGTATTACTACTTTTGATGAGTCGACACCTCTCGTTTGTCAGCACTTTTGTTGGGTTAAAGCTTTATTGAAATAGTACTAAAGTTGAGTCAACACAGTTTTTGAATTAGCTGTTTTGTTGAGTCAACATATTAGTTGGTTTAGTACTTTTGTTGAATCAACACCTTTGCTGAATTTGAGCTTTTGTTGAGCCAAGCAAACTTTTAATTAGTTCAATTTGCTGAAGCAACATGGGTGTTGAATTAGTACCTTTGTTGAATAAGTAAATTTATTCAATCTACACCTTTGTTGAGTCAATACCTTTCCTCTGTCACCACCTGTGTTGAATTAGTACTTTGGTAAGATCAGTGCTTTGGTTGGATCTTACTTTTTCTATTTGAGACCTTTTCTTGAGTTATTAATTTTTGGTTAGTTAATATTATTGCTGAAAGCATTATTTTTTAATTATTTTTAATTAGAACTTTTCCTGAATCAAAAACTTGGTTCATTCTTTGTGTAATCAACACTTTTCTGAAATCAGTACTTTTTTTCAGTAAACACCTTTGTTGAATTAGTACTGTTGCTGAGTCAACTAATTGTTGAATTAATATTTTAATAGAGTAAACATCTTTGTACAGTCAGTACTTTTCTTGAGACATCACATTTGTGTAGTTTGTACTTCTATTGAATCAACACATTTCTTGAATTGTACTTTTCTTTAGTGGACACTTTTCAAAAAAGTGTCAAAAGACACTTTTTTTGTTCTTCTGCTGACTCCACACCTTTCTTTAATTACTATTTTTGTTAAGTTAACTATTTGAGCCAGTACATTTATGTTAATAAGTTTGTTGAATCAGTTCTTTGTCTGATTAAATACAATTGCTGAGACACTTCGTCTATACCCAACCACTTGGGCTCGACGGTAGAGTGAAGGTCTCGCTTCATGCAGGTCAGCGACGAGAGCAATTAGGCTCGACTTTCTATCATGCGGAACAGCGCGTGGAAGCAATAAAACAAAAAGCAGAGGAAAAATGCCACCTGCCATTTATATTGTGTGGTGGCGGCTGGCAGCTGAACCAGACCGCCTTTATTGTTCCAATTAGCGAAGAGCGGTGATGTCCGCTTTAAGAGCGCCGCTCTCACTCCCTCCCGAATATTAAATTCCTTCGTTACTTGCCTGTTTTTCCCCACCTGTCTCTATAGTCATCTATATGTACTCACCTATGTGTGTGCTTATAAGATGAGCTAAAGCTCCTGGGCCTAGTAATTCAGTTGGCTATTCGTTTCAGCAATGGCTCTCCGATTTTCGCGAGTCCAAAGGTTCATATTATGCAACCCGTTCTCGCAAATTTAATAAGTCAATATTGACTTATTAAATATGTGCATAGGTGACATACTTAACATAATAGATACCCTTAAAAAGATTCATAGAAAACACCGACCTTACCTAACCTTGTTAGTATCTTAAGATAAGCATCTTATTGCTTCGTAATTACAATTATTACCTAACCTATAATAGGTAAAGGTTAAGTAATAATTGTAATTACGAAGCTATAAGATGCTTATCTTAAGATACTAACAAGGTTAGGTAAGGTCGGTGTTTTCAATGAATCTTTTTAGGGGTATCTATTATGTTTAGTATATCACCTATGCACGTAGTTAATAAGTCAATATTGACTTTACGAATTTGCGAGAACGGGTTGCATTATGTATGGAGTCAGACTCGATTACTTCACTATGCACCTTATTCCACTTACTACTTTTACACTGAGGATGTCTTCTTTACATCACAGAGACTCATTTGTCTTTCTCTAGTTTCTACCAATGTCTCTCATCCTATTCCAGTCAATGTTATTAATTCAGACTTTCTCCATTTTGATATGTCATTAAGAATGTTATATTTTGTGGTCAAGTGGCTTCTTGCTATTCTGTTTTACAGCGTAGAAAAGTTCACTTCTATCTGCGCTACCTTGTAGCTCAGTCTTCAAAGGTCAGGGACCAGCCATGTAACCTCACAGCTAAGTCAGAGACTGGCGAGGTACTCTCCTAGCTCAGTTCTTAATTGTCAAGGATCAGCCCTGTGACTTCGTAGCTAAGTCTTCGAAAGGTCAGGGACTAGTTACGTACCCCCGTAGTTCAGTCTCCAAAGGTCAGGGATGGGATCTGCCATGTAACTTCATAGCTCAAAGAGAAGCAATGCAATTAGGAGAGAAGGTCATACAAATGATTAAAAACAATCCAAAATATTTCTTTAAATGTGTGAAATCGAAATAAAAAACCTGTCAGTATTGGATCGATGCTTACAAGCGAAGGTTCATACACTGAGGACGACAAATAAATTAATGAAATCCTAAAAAAAAAATAGTATAATGATATGGTTAGCAACCTAACAAACAGCACGAAAGTGGAAGATCTAGACAGCTTCTTTATGCGTGATATCCAAAACCCTGAAACCAAAACTGATATCAACACGAACTCCTCAGATTTTGGAAGATAAACTGATAACATACAAATGCGCTCAGCCATGGATCCAGACTCATTGACTTCAATATTTGTAAAGAAATACAAAGTGGTAGTAGCACAAGCACTCAGTGTGGGAGAGAAAGCTTGGAACAGAAGGATATCAGATACGCTTAAATCAGTAAATATAGCCAGCTCCTCTACACAAGGGGAGGAAGTAAAGCATTGGCGTAGACTTATAGACCAATCGCACTAACGTCCCACATAACAGTTTTTGAGAGAATGATCAAGAGTCAGATCTCCAATTTTATGGAGACCAATGACCTCCACAACTCAGGCCACCATGGATTTAGAGCGGGAAGATCATGCCCTTCGCAGCTACTCATCCACTAGGATAAAATCACTGAGGCATTAGAGGAAAAAACAGAATGCAGAAGTGGCATTTACGGACTTTACAAAGGCATTTGATAAATATGACCATGGAGTGATAGCCCACAGAATGAGGTCAATAGGAATAACAATGAAAGTAGGGCGATGGATATTATATTTTATTTCAAACAGAACGCAAAGAGAAAAATTCAATCAAATAAAATCCAAGTACATTGAAATGCTGTGTTCCCTAACAGTCCTTGCACGACTGATTTTTCTTAATTCTCATACCAGATAGTGACAAAAATACAAGCCACAGTTTTGTATCATCTTTTGCAAATTTCACAAAAATCAGCATGCTGTGTGTATAGGCCAATAGGTCTTAGACAGTTTCATTAATTCTTATGTATAATAAACAATCTCTGACTATACACCAAAAATATTTGTTCCAAATAAGAATTCTTTGGATGACTTAAAAAAATAATTAGCACAAATAAACAATCTTAAGTAGTTACCAAAAATAAATTGGAACAAATAAGTTATTTTTTTTAAATGGGTCGAAAAATATTTGTATACGGAAACTGTGCAGCAGCCAAGGCTGATGGTAAAATTAGGTAGGCCTATTAACCTTCCATGATAGCCCTCTCTTGTCTGTCTGTTAGCCCCATCCGTTAGCCCTCTTACGTGTCTGTTAGCCTCTATCTTGCTTCTCTGTTACCTTCCATTGTTATGCATCTGCTAGTTACTTTCTCGCCCTCTCTAATAGCTCCTTTACTTCTACTCCTTCTTCTTCTGCTCCTGTTAGCCCTGTTCCTCCTTCTTCTTCTGCTCCTGTTAGCCCTGTTACTCCTTCTTACTTCTGCTCCTGTTAGCCCTGTTACTCCTTCTTCTGCTCCTGTTAGCCCTGTTACTCCTTCTTCTTCTGCTCCTGTTAGCCCTGTTACTCCTTCTTCTGCTCCTGTTAGCCCTGTTACTCCTTCTTACTTCTGCTCCTGTTAGCCCTGTTACTCCTTCTTCTTCTGCTCCTGTTAGCCCTGTTACTCCTTCTTCTTCTGCTCCTGTTAGCCCTGTTACTCCTTCTTACTTCTGCTCCTGTTAGCCCTGTTACTCCTTCTTACTTCTGCTCCTGTTAGCCCTGTTACTCCTTCTTCTTCTGCTCCTGTTAGCCCTGTTACTCCTTACTTCTGCTCCTGTTAGCCCTGTTACTCCTTCTTCTTCTGCTCCTGTTAGCCCTGTTACTCCTTACTTCTGCTCCTGTTAGCCCTGTTACTCCTTACTTCTGCTCCTGTTAGCCCTGTTACTCCTTCTTCTTCTGCTCCTGTTAGCCCTGTTACTCCTTCTTACTTCTGCTCCTGTTAGCCCTGTTACTCCTTCTTCTTCTGCTCCTGTTAGCCCTGTTACTCCTTCTTCTTCTGCTCCTGTTAGCCCTGTTACTCCTTCTTCTGCTCCTGTTAGCCCTGTTACTCCTTCTTTCTTCTGCTCCTGTTAGCCCTGTTACTCCTTACTTCTGCTCCTGTTAGCCCTGTTACTCCTTCTTACTTCTGCTCCTGTTAGCCCTGTTACTCCTTCTTACTTCTGCTCCTGTTAGTCCTGTTGCCCATAGATTACCTTGCCCAAGTCGCCTGTTAAAGCTCTCTGCCTCACACTGTTGCTAGTGCCAACCTTGCCTGACGCCTCCGTGTCTCCCGCTCATGCAGGCTACGGCGGAGAACGATGCGAGTTCGAGTACAACGAGTGTGAGTCAAACCCCTGCACTAACGGGGGCACCTGCGTCGACCAGGTGGGCAGCTACCACTGCTTCTGCGGCAGAGGCTACACCGGGAAGCGCTGCCAGGTCAAGGTGGGTCCCGTGTCTGCTGTGTCACCCAGGGTGCCAGGTCTGCTGTGTCACCCAGGGTGCCAGGTCGAGGTGGGTCCCGTGTCTGCTGTGTCACCCAGGGTGCCAGGGCAAGGTGGGTCCCGTGTCTGCTGTGTCACCCAGGGTGCCAGGTCTGAGGTGTCACCGAGGGTGCCAGGTCTGCTGTGTCACCCAGGGTGCCAGGTCTGCTGTGTCACCCAGGGTGCCAGGTCAAGGTGTCACCCAGGGTGCCAGGTTGAGGTGAGTCCCGTGTCTGCTGTGTCACCCAGGGTGCCAGGTCAAGGTGTCACCCAGGGTGCCAGGTCGAGGTGGGTCCCATGTCTGCTGTGTCACCCAGGGTGCCAGGTCAAGGTGTCACCCAGGGTGCCAGGTCGAGGTGGGTCCCATGTCTGCTGTGTCACCCAGGGTGCCAGGTCGAGGTGGGTCCCGTGTCTGCTGTGTCACCCAGAGTGCCAGGTCGAGGTGGGTCCCGTGTCTGCTGTGTCACCCAGGGTGCCAGGTCGAGGTGGGTCCCGTGGCTGCTGTGTCACCCAGGGTGCCAGGTTGAGGTGGGTCCCATGTCTGCTGTGTCACCCAGGGTGCCAGGTCGAGGTGGGTCCCGTGTCTGCTGTGTCACCCAGGGTGTCAGGTGAAGGTGGGTCCCGTGTCTGCTGTGTCACCCAGGGTGCCAGGTCAAGGTGAGTCCCGTGTCTGCTGTGTCACCCAGGGTGCCAGGTCAAGGTGAGTCCCGTGTCTGCTGTGTCACCCAGGGTGCCAGGTCAAGGTGAGTCCCGTGTCTGCTGTGTCACCCAGGGTGCCAGGTCAAGGTGAGTCCCGTGTCTGCTGTGTCACCCAGGGTGTCAGGTGAAGGTGGGTCCCATGTCTGCTGTGTCACCCAGGGTGCCAGGTCACAGTGTCACCCAGGGTGCCAGGTCACAGTGTCACCCAGGGTGCCAGGTCACAGTATCACCCAGGGTGCCAGGTCACAGTGTCACCCAGGGTGTCAGGTCACAGTGTCACCCAGGGTGCCAGGTCACAGTGTCACCCAGGGTGCCAGGTCACAGTGTCACCAAGGGTGCCAGGTCACAGTGTCACCCAGGGTGTCAGGTCACAGTGTCACCCAGGGTGCCAGGTCACAGTGTCACCCAGGGTGCCAGGTCACAGTGTCACCCAGGGTGCCATGTCACAGTGTCACCCAGGGTGCCAGGTCACAGTGTCACCCAGGGTGCCAGGTCACAGTGTCACCCAGGGTGCCAGGTCACAGTGTCACCCAGGGTGTCAGGTCACAGTGTCACCCAGGGTGCCAGGTCACAGTGTCACCCAGGGTGCCAGGTCACAGTGTCACCAAGGGTGCCAGGTCACAGTGTCACCCAGGGTGTCAGGTCACAGTGTCACCCAGGTTGTCAGGTCACAGTGTCACCCAGGGTGCCAGGTCACAGTGTCACCCAGGGTGTCAGGTCACAGTGTCAACCAGGGTGCCAGGTCACAGTGTCACCCAGGGTGCCAGGTCACAGTGTCACCCAGGGTGCCAGGTCACAGTGTCACCCAGGGTGCCAGGTCACAGTGTCACCCAGGGTGCCAGGTCACAGTGTCACCCAGGGAGCCAGGTCACAGTGTCACCCAGGGTGCCAGGTCACAGTGTCACCCAGGGTGTCAGGTCACATTGTCACCCAGGGTGCCAGGTCACAGTGTCACCCAGGGTGCCAGGTCACAGTGTCACCCAGGGTGCCAGGTCACAGTGTCACCCAGGGTGCCAATGAAGCTCTGAGAGAGCATTAAAATAATATTATTATAATCTTTACAATTCATAAATACCTTTGTTCCAAATTTTTGTTATTCTTGTTTCAGATTTTAACGTGTTACTTTCATAGTCTACATTCTTGTGGTGGCAACACTCACCCGAACATTCTTGTGGTGGCAACACTCACCCGAACATTCTTGTGGTGGCAACACTCACCCGAACATTCTTGTGGTGGCAACACTCACCCGAACATTCTTGTTGTGGCAACACACACCCGAACATTCTTGTGGTGGCAACACTCACCCGAACATTCTTGTGGTGGCAACACTCACCCGAACATTCTTGTGGTGGCAACACTCACCCGAACATTCTTGTGGTGGCAACACTCACCCGAACATTCTTGTGGTGGCAACACTCACCCGAACATTCTTGTGGTGGCAACACTCACCCGAACATTCTTGTGGTGGCAACACTCACCCGAACATTCTTGTGGTGGCAACACTCACCCGAACATTCTTGTGGTGGCAACACTCACCCGAACATTCTTGTGGTGGCAACACTCACCCGAACATTCTTGTGGTGGCAACACTCACCCGAACATTCTTGTGGTGGCAACACTCACCCGAACATTCTTGTGGTGGCAACACTCACCCGAACATTCTTGTGGTGGCAACACATTCTTGTCGTGGCACAACACCCGAACATTCTTGTGGTGGCAACACCCGAACATTCTTGTGGTGGCAACACTCACCCGAACATTCTTGTGGTGGCAACACTCACCGAACATTCTTGTGGTGGCAACATCACCCGAACATTCTTGTGGTGGCAACACTCACCCGAACATTCATGTAGTGGCAACACACACACCCGAACATTCTTGTCGTGGCAACACACACCCGAACATTCTTGTTGTGGCAACACTCATCCGAACATTCTTGTCGTGGCAACACTCACCCGAACATTCTTGTTGTGGCAACACACACCCGAACATTCTTGTCGTGGCAACACTCACCCGAACATTCTTGTCGTCGCAACACACACCCGAACATTCTTGTCGTGGCAACACACACCCGAACATTCTTGTCGTGGCAACACACACCCGAACATTCTTGTCGTGGCAACACACACCCGAACATTCTTGTCGTGGCAACACACACCCGAACATTCTTGTTGTGGCAACACACACCCGAACATTCTTGTCGTGGCAACACTCACCCGAACATTCTTGTCGTGGCAACACTCACCCGAACATTCTTGTCGTGGCAACACACACCCGAACATTCTTGTCGTGGCAACACTCACCCGAACATTCTTGTCGTGGCAACACAACTACACATTGGTCACCTGAAGTAACACTCAACTAGACATTGGTCACCTGAAGTAACACTCAACTAGACATTGGTCACCTGAAGTAACACTCAACTAGACATTGGTCACCTGAAGTAACACTCAACTACACATTGGTCACCTGAAGTAACACTCAACTAGACATTGGTCACCTGAAGTAACACTCAACTACACATTGGTCACCTGAAGTAACACTCAACTACACATTGGTCACCTGAAGTAACACTCAACTACACATTGGTCACCTGAAGTAACACTCAACTAGACATTGGTCACCTGAAGTAACACTCAACTACACATTGGTCACCTGAAGTAACACTCAACTACACATTGGTCACCTGAAGTAACACACAAATACACATTGGTCACCTGAAGTAACACACAAATACACATTGGTCACCTGAAGTAACACTCAACTACACATTGGTCACCTGAAGTAACACTCAACTACACATTCTTTCACCAAGAACAATTTAATTAGCAAAAGTGGATGTAATTTAATCGTAACGATGCTTATCGTGCCAGGGATTCATCTTGCTCTAACGAGATGGTTTAATTGATTTAGAATAAGTGCATTCCACCTGTCGATTAATTATGGGGGGGACATTTCAATCCCTTGTGTGTTTCTATGTGCGCGTGTGTGTGTGTGTGTGTGTGTGTGCGTGTGTGTGTGTGTGTGTGTGTGTGTGTGTGTGTGTGTGTGTGTGTGTGTATTCACCTACTTGTGCTTAAGGGGGTTGAGCGCTGGCTCTGTGGGCCCGCCTCTCAACTGTCAATCTATCGACTGATCCCCCCCCCCACCCCCTACATATAGACACATCCTCAGGAAGCAGCCCGTAGAAGCGGTCTAATTCCCAGGTACCTATTTACGGCTAGGTGAACAGAGCAATCAGGTTGAAAGAAACTCGGCCTATTTGTTTCTTTCATCACCGGGGATCGATCCCCGGTCTCTAGACTTAGGAATCCCGAGCGATGCCCACTCAGCCACCAGGCCCCCGTAAGGTGCGTGCGTGTGTGTGTGTATGTGTATGTATGCTCGTGCGTTTCATGCGTGTAATATTTAAACTTGTATACAAATATACTTGTTTTCACTTAAGTGGACTTGCATGAGGCACCAAAGTCGTAACTCTTATCTTCATCATGGCGGCTAAGTCGATATTTACTAAACAGTTTAAACAGTGGGTAGAATTCTACCCACTTCAAGACTCCGCTCCAATATAGAAGCATCAAGAAATATGGACCAATAGGCTTTTTACAATTACTTCCATTCAATACCCATTGTTTCGTGTTCTGTCTTGTGTTTGAATTTAATACCCATTCAATACCCATTGTTGAAAGTTTGTTTTCACCTCATCCACCTCACCCAAATGTAGATATAAAATCGAAGATGTGTAAGCTCTATTCAGTTTCAGTTGTGTGTTTGTAAACTAAAGTCTTTGAAAATGTAATAAGTTTTACGAAACGCGCTCAAGTGTCGTGTCAGCATAGAAATAATAATGAATTTTGGAGAATTGATCTTTGAATTACCATCAACAGTGAAAAGAAACGTAAGAAAGATCGAGAAAATTCGTGTTAGAATTATTAATCTTACTTTTCCGGTCATATTTAATAATATATATATATATATATATATATATACATATATATATATATATATATATATATATATATATATATATATATATATATATATATATATATATTTAATACAATTGTTTAAATACTAAATAAAGAACAATGTTCTGTGGTTGTTCAAAGAGATATAATTTAAGAATACAGCCATGAGTGATAAGAAAGATATCCCCAGCGTGGTTAGCCTGCTTTATCTATATAAGAAAGAATATCGGTCTCTCCTGCCTTGAGTCCATTAAATTTAGTTTAATAGTGAATTAAGATATTAACTTCCAAAACGTAC